TTCTTAGGTTGTACCGTGGCAGGGAGGGGTTGATTATATTTCTCTCATTACATTTTTACTTTTTCACAGTTTCTATCTTACGTTGGTGTGGCTTATAGTAAGTTATAATTGAGTATGGCACAATTAAGTTACCTTTTCATTCAGTTTTATTACAACAATCATGCTGTAATTTAAAACCTTATTTACAAAGGATACAAAACAATTTTCTAATCCAGTTAGAAGTAGAGAAACAACAAATTGAAAAAACAGGTGGAAAAAGTTGGTCTGTTTCAATTTATACAACAAATAAAGAAACTAAACATAGGAAATCTTACCACCTTGTAGTCCTGAAGCATACAGACTAGTTAAAAGAAGTCAGTGGACACAGATTTAATAGTTCTTCTGCTCGCTCACTGTTTTGCTACTGGAATATAAACTCTCTATTTACCACCCAGTAGCCAATCATCACCTTGCCTATGTGATGTCAGCAAGTGGACTCTCACCATAAAACCCCCAATTTCAACATTTCTCTAGACACAGATTTAGTTTATAAACATAAAGCTCTGTTCTAGTGCCAGGGGGTTGTATAGTTTCATTTGATTAAAGGTCTCGGGTGAGATGAAGGGTTTGGACACTGGGATGTATAATAATGTTCTGGATATAAATTAAAACAAATATTGAGAACTCTATTTCAAGGACTTTTTCTGTTTTGGAAAATGTTATATCAAATGAAGTGGAAACACAGCAGATCTGATTCTCTTCTCATTTAACTCCAGTATCAATCTGTAAATCCAGTGTGAGAGCTTATTAGGTCCAAAGTCTCATTTATATAGCTCAAAAATATGAATTAAACACCGTGTGTGTATATCTGTATATACACACACACATACGTATTATATATATTACTAGAAGATTTACCTGGCATTGCTCAAATAAGTTTTGTTTTTCTTCATTTAAATCATTGCTCTGGGGTGGGAGGGTCAGTATGCAAGCTGCATTAGGGAGAGAGGACAACCCCAACCTTCTCTCACCGCAGAAGCTTGGGGCCATGTGAGAAGTGCCTCTCCATAGCTGCTGCAGCTGCCAGGAGAGGGATGCATGTCCCCCAGCCAGGAGACAAACAGGCATACAAACACTCTCTGAAATATATAGCAAATAACAGCCCTTTTCTCCATCCCCGCTCCTGCTGGCCCAATGGGGTTACAGTTGTCTCAGTCCCTATCTCTGACCTCTTGCTGCTACCCTGTGGTCATTATACAGTATGGCAGTGTCTACACTGGGCCACTTATTCCGGAAAAGCAGCCGCTTTTCCGGAATAACTTGCCAGCTGTCTCCACTGGCCGCTTGCTTTTCCGGAAAAGCAATGACAATCTACTGTAAAATTGTCAGTGTTTTTCCGGAAAAACTATGCTGCTCCCGTTCGGGCAAAAGTCCTTTTCCGGAAAAAGTGTTCTGGAAAAGGGCCAGTGTAGACAGCACAGTAGTCTTTTCCGCAAAAAAGCCCCGATCGCAAAAATGACGATCGGGGCTTTTTTCCGGAAAAACGCGTCTACATTGGCCACGGACGCTTTTCCGGAAAAAGTGCTTTTCCGGAAAAGCATCCTGCCAATGTAGACGCGCTTTTTCCGGAAATACTTATAACGGAAAACTGTTCCGTTTTAAGCATTTCCGGAAAAGGATGCCAGTGTAGACGTAGCCTATAACTATCCTTTCTACCAGATTCCTCCTTTTCCATTTTATGTGAAACAATAGAAGTTCAGGCACATCCCATTGTCCTGGTACAACCAACCCTCACCTTGCTTTACCTTTATGATAAAAGGAAGCTGCATACCAAATTTGGTGGTCCTAGCTCTTACCGTTTAGCACAACGTTTCTTAAACTTGTTGGCCTGTGACCCACCCCGCTCAATGCAAATCCTTCTGCGGCCCAGCAGTTGCAAATGGAAACTTACCATTAATTACATAATTACACCGAGCCATTTTGCTAGTGCTGTAGCTGGGGAGAATGGTTTATTTTAAATTATTAAACAGATTAAGATAAAGATAATTATTTAACTTTCTCGTGTTAGTTTATCAAATTTCATTTTAAATAAAGTAAAATATTAATTTATGTCCAACACAAAAGATTTCCATGTTATATTTATTTATGGCAGGGGCGGGTAACCTTTTGTGTGTCGGGGAGGCCACTGACCCACAGTTGGGGACCACACAAGTGAGAAGCAACCTCCCCCCAAAAAAACCCTTCAAAAACTCCCAATCCTCACAGAATGGTCCCCCAACTGAGACTCATAGACTCATGGACTTTAAGGTCAGAAGGGACCATTATGATCATCTAGTCTGACCCCCTGCACAGTACAGGCCACAGAATCTCACCCACCCCTCCTAGAATAATCCTCTCACCTATATCTCAGATATTGAAGCCTTCAAATACTTTGAAGACCCCAAGATGCAGAGAATCCTCCAGCTGTGATCTATACCCCATGCTACAGAGGAAGGTGAAAAACCTCCAGGGTCTCTGCCAATCTACCCTGGAGGAAAATTCCTTCCCGACACCTCACTCCTCTGGTACTCCAGCCCCACGGGATGAGGGGAAGGGACAGGGAGGACTGAGGTTCAGGGCTTCCCATAGGCCAGATTTACTTTTCTGGAGTTCTGAAGAAAGTGGATTTTGTGGACCCTGTTAGGCTCTGGGGTGGGAACACAAATGAGAGGTTCAGTGTGCAGGACAGGGCTGCCAGCAGTGGGATAGAGATGGGGTGTAGGATGTGAGATCTGGGTGGGAGGTAGGCTGCAGAAGCAGGCTGGTAGTAGGGTGTCTGGTTGTGGGGAGGGAGCAGGAGCAAGGGAGGGTTTAATGTGTGGCCAGGAGGGAGGGTGCAAAAAACAATGGTAGAAGCAGGCGTAGGTGTCTGGCTGGAGTGGGAGAGGGGGTGCAGGAGCAGGTTGGGGGTAGCGTGTCTGGCCAGGGGAGAGGGTGCCAAGCAGGGGTGGGCAGTAATTTTTGATGAGAGGACACTCCAAGGATTTGGTAAGTGTTCGAGGGAGGCACTCTTCCATTATTCATGGAAGAGGTGCAGAGGTCTGGAATGGAGGTTGGGTGCAGAAGGGAGCTTGGGATAAGGGATCAGGGAGGGAGTTTGAATGAAGGATGAAATCATGCCCTGGGGCAATGAGGTGGGGTGAGGAGGGGATCCAGGGTCTGAGAGGGGAGGGTGACCTAGGGTAGGGATACATAGGTTTGGATTGTAATCTGGGGAAGGGGATTGGGGTGCAGCGTCTGGGAGCGGTATGGGTGCAGGAGAGGATTCTGTCCTGAGGGAGGGGTAGGAGAAGAGTAGGTATGGGTGCAGGAGAGGATTCTGTCCGGAGGGAGGGGTAGGAGAAGAGTGTGCAGGGTCTGGAAGGGGGTTGTAACCTGGGGTAGGAGTGCAGGAGGAGGTTCAGGGATTTGGGCTGTGACCAGGGATAGCAGATTGGGATGCAAAGTCTGAGAGGGATGTATGAGGGGATGCAGTGTCTGGGACGTTGCAGAAGATTTGAGTTACATGGGATAGGAGAGCAGAGGGTTGGGGAAGGGAGGGGCTGTCGTGCCACAGACAGGCTCTGGCTGGGAGATTTTACCTGGCTCCAAGCCAGCAGCCCAGCAAGTTTCTTTGCCAGGGTCCCTGCTTTCCAGTCCCTGTACTGCTCAGAGAAGTTGCCAGAGCCATGCATACTGCTTGGAACTTCATGCTGTGCGGGAGGAGGGGCACTTTCCATGCTGCTTGTCATGCAAACTGGCAGCTTCTATTGGCCAAAACCAGCCAATGGGAGCTATTCGGGGACAGAAGCAGCATGAGAAACCCATCTCCCCTCCCTTCAGACTCTCAGCTTTCAGAAACATACACGTGGTCCTGCAGCCAGCTTTACTGAGTGCCAAGGTAGAGCAGGGCAGACAGGGAGCTGGCTGAATCTCTCATGGGCCAGATGAGGCCTACAGATTATCTTTTGCTCAGCCCTGGTGTAGGAGCTAGCTGGGGACTTGGGGTCTTTCCAGGGAGGAGTAAGAGGGATTGAGGTACAGGGTCTGGGAATGGGAGAGAGCTGCTTACCTGGCTCTGTGCCCTCCTGGGTCCCAATATGGTCTCCCACTTCTCCCATTGGCTGCAACTCCAGCCAATGAGAGTGACAGAGAAAGCCCATCATTATGCTGGCATTTCCCCAGGAAGCTGGCCAGGAGAGAGGTGAGAATCGTTGTGTAGAGCCACCTGTTCTGCTCTCTCTTCACACTCCCCACCCCACAAAGCCCTTGATTATGCCACCATTCCCCCAGAGGAGCTGGGTGGGAGGGAGACGAGAAACACAGTGTGGTTCTGCTCTCTTGTCTCTTTTGAGCTGGTCTGGCGGGGTTGGGGCTTGATGGTCACGAAGTTAGAGTGCCAGCGTGCTTCCTACTGTGGGGGGTGGGGATTAGCTCAAGCCACGGACCACCTGGAAGATGGACACAGACCACTAGTGGTCCAGAGACTGCACTTTGAGAACCACTGCACTATAGGTTTCTGTGTGTTTGTGACGGACCGGGCCGGTCTGGGCACAGCTGAGGGCATCCGCTCAGGGCGAATTGCTCAAATCCGGGGCTCCTTACAGCCCACTGACTGGTGACCTCTCCAAACAGGTCACAAACCAGTCCCACGGAGCGCTTCAGCTGCCTGCCTGAAGCCTCACGAGCAAAACCCCTCCGACATCCCAGCAATATCCGTGCCCCAGATGGCCCCGGGCCTCATACACCGGTGGGGGGTCCTAGCACCCAATCCCACCTACC